TTTGTAAGTACCCAATGTAAATGTCTTTTTATAATTTTAATGTTTGGATACAAATAGTTCATTCATATACATGTATGCGTATATACAATGAAGCGTATAAAATCTATAAAAGTACCACTTGAGTTTAAAACAAAGGCATGTCACTATGTTAGACTGTTTAGTGTTACGGTTGGTTGGTGACACTTATAAATTTTGTAGGCCTTTCCAAGTTTTTACATCTCTTGATTTCCTTTACACACAAGTTTTCGTAGCCTCAATTTTTTTTCATCTCGCAAATCAATGTTTTCGTACGCCGACCAGATAGACCGATCCAGCCGAAATACGTGGGAGTGGGACGGACAGGGACATCAATCCGGTCTGGATATAACTCTAAGATCATGAACTATTATTATATATAAAAACCAGTAGAACAAATAATAACTACGAATCAGCCGTAGTTAACATACAAAAACTATGTTGGCAGTGTCGTGTATGAGTGATATAAAGAGTTGCTCTTTTTGTTCATGAAGTAACGAGTTTAGATGTAACTCTCAAATCGTACGATAATACAAAAATGTCATTCATTTACTTAAATACGTAGCCTCTTCACATGTTAAATGAATAACAAGAAAACCTTATAGCTTTAGGTGTTTGTGCAAGAACGACTAGCTTTCGCACATATATAGATTTGCAAGTCAGGATCTGAGCTTTCGTTCACTGCATCCGTGAGGGGTGAGCCCTAAGCGATTTGTGAGTACTGGCTAGTATTGTCTGTTATCGAAAAGTATCCCAGATCTAACGAGCCATGTCATCGATCTCGCTTGCTCTTTGCTGTAACTTGATTTGGATGAAGCTGACTTGTGGACCTAGAGGATTATGAATATAGATATTAGGGCCAAAGAGCCGAATTCATGTTAAGTTTTTTCGATGCTTCGTCTATAAGGCCAGACTTATTACATGTTTTTCAAGAACCTAAAAGGATGTTACAAGCTTGCACAATGAAACACATAAACATAACAAAACCAGAAACACCAAAATACCATTCCGATTTCATTTCGAGATTTTTGCAGCTAGTTCTCTAACAAGCTTAGCCGCGACCATTGCTGTCATGCCGTCAACAGTATCACGTTGCGGGTTGAACTCGACAACATCAGCCCCGACCACGTCTCCCTGAAGGTTGTTTAAAATGTTAAGGACGTCTCGGAAAGAGAGACCACCTGGTTCAATGTGTGACACTCCAGGTGCAAATGCCGGATCAAGACAGTCAACGTCGATAGAGATGTACACACCCTTCACTCCTTCCCCTAGTTTCTGTACAAACCCATTCAATATATGGCTTAGAATATACGCAATGCACAAAACTAAAGCCCAAACCAAATTCCTCAAACTGAAGCTGTACTGAACTTTACTTCAAACCAAATTCCTCAAACAGATTGCCCCACCCCTACCTCTAATAATACTTTTTGCCTTGTCTAAGTTTACGGAGAGATAGATACCAGATTTTCCAAAATTTGGCGATCTCTTGAGAAGGTTCGCATCTCATACTGTTCTACTCCAAATCTCTTGCCCTGTTCTCGTCCTTCCTGGTTTATCGATCTGATCCCAACCTACATAAAGTTTGGGTTCTCCTTAAGATTATATTTCCCAGAGATTGTGATGTATATACAGCAGAGCCAATAGACTAACCTGTAAAAGTCGCCGGGCATAGCCACCTTCCATGATACGAGCAAAGGAAGATGCATGAGAGTACTTGTTTCCTTCGAAACAGTTATATATATCTGGATGTGCATCAAAATGAAGAATGTCGACAGGTCCTCCAAGCTTCTCAGAAACCGCTCTCACAACAGGATAAGATATCGAATGGTCTCCACCTAAGACTAGTGGGCGCAACGGTTCCTAACGAAGGAAAACCAAAATCTCAGTTACTTGGACTTTGAGCTTCATTAAATTTAAAAAGAAAACTTTTGGTGCTATAAGCACCATCAGGATGATCCAATAACTGTAATGCAAGACTAAATTCTAATCTGTTCCATGTAGACGTTTAAAAATTATGTTTTATCTCAAACATTAAGATGTCGAAAAGGAGTTCTCCATAGTTTTGAATATCAGAAACCTATTAACTGAATATGAGAAGTCGCACATAGCTTACCTCTTCCATCACCAGCTTCACAGATTCACTTATTACATTCATCAGTCTATCATCATCAACCCCACAATCTCTAATCTCTTGTACTGGAACATCCCCAACATCAGTTAGAACCCGTGGATCCTTTAGCTCCTTCCCTGCAATTTAGTCCACAAAACCAATATCAAGGAGAAACAACTACACCACACATAACTGGTATAAAAAAATGGAAGATTTATACAATAAACCATGAATAGCACAAGTTGGATGATCTGTTATCACAAAAGACACCTCTTGGTTTCAAATCAGAAAGAAAGTGGTGCTTACCTTCTTCAGTGGAAGAGTTTGTACTACCACACCAAATAGCCTCTCTAATACGAGGAGGAGCAAAAGCAGGGCCTTGAAGGAAAGAAGAGTTGTGACCAAGAGGTACACCAAGAAGAGAGGTTGAAGCTTTGGCTCCTCCTAAGAGACGCACAAGCTCTCCCTAAAACAATCATCAAGTTTTCATTCATAGTATATATATAACAAACATGAAATCGAAAGAAAAAGAAGGCTTTTTTTATTCAAAGTGTTGTATTTATTACTTTGAGTTTTGCCCTTTCACGAATGAGGGTTAAGGAAGCATCAATGACACGGTTTTGGCCTTTCTCGATCAAAGAAGCAGGAACGCTTGCAGAATTGAGTCTCTGGAAGTAGTGAATTCCTCTCTGCCCAATCTTCGACATATCTTGATTTTTTTTTGAGATCGAATCAACAATTTTTTTCAATTGCAAAAAAGGTACAAAAGGTGGGTGATAAAAGTCGATGACGGATTGTAAGAGAGACAGAGAGTGAGAATTTCTGGGCAGAGGTAGGAGAAAAGAATCAGTGAGGAATTATTCTGAATTTAGCTCCTTCACTTTATCGTTTCCGTCCTTAAAAAAAAAAAACTATGTTTCTTCCTTGTTTGGACCTTTGTCATGTCACTGATATTTTTATTTAATCTTGGTCCAAACTATCCACGATGTCCTGAAAGAGGAATTTGGTTCTCTGATTACACTTTCTCTTTCGAATTCTGAAATGAGGAATGAAAAGAAATAACGAGGAGTCCATACATTTAGTTCATATGAATTTTACCTTGGAAGGAACTGTGGCAAATAATAAGCATGTTCAATAAGGGTAAAAGTTAAGGTTGTAACATACAAGACTCAATGTAAGGGTAATAATAACTTATTAGTAACAAGATATCAAAAATCATTCTTCCAAGTAATCCTTGC